TCATCCTCAGTGCTATAATCTATATATAATATTCCTTATCATTATAATCATCTTCATTATATCATCTCGAGACAAAAATAGTTATATGCACTTAAAAAGCTGAGAAAATAGAGAGAGAAAGGTCGAGTATACCAGCATTCAGTAGAAAATGAACCCAAATAAAAAGAAAAACACCAAAAACCAAGTAAAACCAAGTAAAAACAAGTAAAAACAAGTTTCCTGTTGACTGTCATGCAAAGAAAAAAAGGCCAGCTACTCTGCTTGTTATTTGCAGTTGTGTAATACTGTGAACTCCCTCATTTTAAATATGTGAATCTCATCATGATTTTAAAGTTTAGAAACACACAAAGAAGAACAGAAGAACGACACCTTTGTACTGTACATGCTGCTTTTTCTTCTTTTTCTGGAGGGGGGGGTTATGTTAGCACGGTCACGCACATATGTGTGGTCAAAGGTAACCTTTGACCTTTGAGTATTAGAACAGGCTGAACTAGACATGAACATCATTACTAGATGAAACAAGTATGATACAACATCTCTGTTGTTCACTGCAAGAAAAAAAACAAAACGTTAATCTGACAAATCTGACTTATCAAAAAGGCGAAGTGTTGGGTGGGACAGTTCACACAAAATACAGTCCTGTATCATATGAATTTCAAAGCAAACATGTATCCCACTCTGTAAAAGTGGTAATGACATTAAGTAGAAGGAAAAAATGGACAACATAAAACAGCAAAAAAAATGTAAATCTGCAGAAGAAAAACAGCAGAAAAAGCAAAAGTCATTTCCACCATGTTGGTCGTTACACAAAAACACATGCAGAATGCAGATTGGGTGTACTATCCATTTAAAAGCAGTCATGTTTATACATGAAGCATCGTCTCTTTAAACAACTGCAGACAGCACTTGCACAAGTGCATGATTTGTACAATAGGAAAAAGAAAGAAAAAAAAAAAGCACAGTAAAAATGTCGACTACAATAAATAAATAAATATTCAAAATAAATTAAAACCTGAGGACTGTTCACCAAGACGACTGAGCGGTCTTTATCTATCTTGGTCTGACCAATAGGGGCGAGACAAATGTGAAGGCAGCCAATGGTGGATGAGCAAAGTAAAGTGGAGCTGATGAAAAGTCAAACCTCCACAAAATCAGTTTTCAGTGCTGCAAAGTCCATCCGTTCAGTCCTGCCACCTCTGGCACAAGCACTTTATATCATAAAAAGCTGATAACACTTTACTGTAACACAAACAAACCAAAATAACAGTAAAAGCATGAAAAAAAAGAAAAAAAAAAAACACATGAAAGAAAGCAGATGAAAACAGAGTCCTGGGCTGAAGGCAGGGGACTGATGTGTCCTCCGAAAAATAAAGCCTTCTCATTTCATCGTCCACACTGCACACACTTCCGAAATATCCTCCCAGGCTTGTAAAGAATACACACTGAAAGCAACCAATGTACATGCGTGCAGACACACTCACATAAATATTGCACCTGTGGCAAAAGACTAGCAAAATGCACACGCCCAGCCAAACGCAGCCTTCATTCTTCATCGCTGATATGGGCGTAACGCGCCTGTAATCTGCGTGTGCTTCGTTTAGACGGAGCTGCAGCACCAGCTTGCTGTGCTGTGGCTCCGGAAGTGAGAAAGCTCAAACATCTACCGAGATCCTTTCTTCAATGTTCTGACTGCTTTTGTCATTTTGAGTGGGGGAAAAAGGGACCGGCTGTTTTTCCACTGAGATTTTTGGAACTTAAAAATACCTCACACGTTCAGAAAAGACCACAGAGCTCTGGTATTCAGCTGTCGCCTAGCAAACAGCAGGACTCGCCCAACATCCCATCGCTACGCCAAACACCTTTTTTGCACTACTGACCAGTAAATAAAACCATCTCCAGGTGGGGTGAAGGCTGAACCAGCATTCACAGAGATTCGTGAGAGAAGCAAGGTTTAGGAAACAGCACGTCAAAGCAACCCTGACCAGACTATTTCAGAACAAATGATCTGTACGCTACAATAATATTCTGCATATCTGATTCATTATTGGTTATAACAAAACACATTCACCTTCGCAAGATGGTCACTATAAGATGAAATACATATACTGATATCGTTTAATAAATTGTGGTCCTTTCTAACCTGTTTGAAAGTCTTGAAATCATTAATAATTTAATTTAGTACAGCACTTTGTTCCAATTCACATTGAGTTGCTTGGCGTGAGTTAATCTCCTGAAACTCTACAAGCGTTTCTTCAACGCTGTAAAGTTTCAGTCGCAGGAACATTATTATTATTTGTCGTGCAGCAAATTAATATTTTTTTGATTTTGGGACTTTTGGGACAAGCATCTGGCCTCATTTAAACAGTTTAGTTTGTTTCAATAGGAGTCGTGTGGTGGTATTTCCATAGTCTGTCTTTCATCAGTTACTTCTAGCTTTCACAAGTTAAAAATAGCTGTTTTTGTCAAGCGAGTCCTGTGGTTTTGTATTCGATGGAGCTGTCTGACATGTAAGGTTCAAGCTTGGAAAAGGTTTGAAAATATTCTAAATTATAATAGAAACTTTAATTTCTTTTAACTGGGTTTTGCTGTTAATCGAGCCCAGTACAATACAGCCTCTATAAAAGTACTCCTCCCTGCTTCACCAAGCTAGCCGCCTGCTGACCTCGGTCTAGTGTAAGTAATATACTGAATGTGAATAAATGCCTCATATAATTCACCTGAAAGAAGCCAAATTATCCCATCAAAAGAAATTATTTATAACAACCTAAGAGGCAACAGGCACTATGATGTACTCAGCTTCAGTTACTTTATAACCATTCCTAATCATCTGTGTTTTTTCAAATACCAGCAATGAAGAGTCTTCATTGGAGCAGAGGTTTCACCGTGACACATTTTTCTTACAACAGCTTGATACATCACTCTAGAATCAAGCATCCTGATCACAGAGACAAACGTATTCCCCTCTTCATATGCATGTTCTTGTGACTGCTTCGTTTTATACCCTTCAGCTCGGACAGTCAGAGATCAGGGCGTCACCGGTGTTGGAAAGTAGCACTCCTGCTGCATGCTGTTTGCTTTGATTTGAAGCCCAGTTAAGCAAACCTGTTCTCCTGTCTTTTACTTTGCAGCAAGGGAGAAACGACAAGTTCCTCCAACTGTACCGACTTATCGTGACTGGACTAACATGCACTTACTCAGCACACCCATACACACACTTCAGGGCTCGATCTCTACATGGACGCCCATCAGATGCACCCCTTCCAATAAAAAAAAAAAAGAACAAAAAAGAAAATACAATTAAAAGAAAATTAAAAGAAAAAAAAAACTGCAAACGCACAATCAAAAACATGTTAACCATGAGTTTGGGCACACTGTTATAGCTAACATACAAGAAGCAAATTACAAAAAATGCCAATATCATTTTCCACTTAATAGCCACAATAAAAAACAGCCACTGTAAATATGGGGCAGGGGGACATGCTTCCTTAAAAAGATAGAGAAAAAAAGGATTTTCTTTAACTCTAAAAACCACTGGCATCAAGAATTCTGAATTATACAAATTACATATACAATTGCAAATGTGTAATAATAATTATAATAATAATCATAATAATAGAGTAATGATAATAGATTTTACTTAAAACTTTACATACTGTATTTCCAGTGCAGTGTTTATGTCACACAAGTGTGGATTCACAGGAGGACAAGAGGGTCGGTGTCACAAAAGACCACAGGAAGGAATCACACCCAGTGCTGAAAAACACCCCCACCCCCATCAAACACCCAGCGTGCCGGAGGGAAGAAGAGGAAGTCGTGGGGGATGAAGGACGCTGCTGCTGTTCGACGGTTGTCAGAAGGTGCGGTAGGACAGGTGACAAACAGGGGGCAGTAGTAGTAAAAGAAGAGACGCATGCTGGGAGGGGGTTGAGGCCGGGCGTCCAGTTTGTTGTTGGAGGACAAAGAGCTCCCAGAGCACTACTGGACGTGTTCTTTCACCCCTTCCTCATCCTCCTCCTCTGCCTCCTCCTCTCTCCAGCAGAGCACTCCTGACAGACGAAACTACAGCACTTAAGCCTGAGAAGGAAAAACAACAAAAAAAAAAACCCTGAACATTAAATAATTACACAAATCAAAGTGTCACACACATACATAATTTAAAAAATGGCTTTAAAACACTGGTAAATGGGTTTAGTGGATTCATAACAACTGTTAGTTGAATCGAGCTGGAATATTTTCCTCAGCTGTTTCTCACATGTAGCCCACAACAGGAAATAGCCACTTCTGATGCATCTGCCCTGAATAATATATGGATATAGCACGCAGGAGGCAGCACACACGATGCCCACGTGCTATCAGTGAATGCACCAGCCTGTTACTACTATTGCCACGTTGATCCAATCGAACATCACACTTTGTTCCAGGAAGCTGTGCGGTTGAAAGGCGACTAACAAGCATGCACATCTTGCAGTTTCGACACAAGAATGTTTATAAATTTTAGGAGAATCAGGTTGGAATATTTTTCCTCTGCTGTCCTTTCTCACATAATGTGTAGCCCACAGCAGGAATTAGCCTGCTTCGGATGTGTTCACACTAATGAAAATACTCCAGAGAGGGAGCTGCCAGGACAGAGCGTGCAGAAAGCAGCACACATCACGCCACTGCACTTAGTTTGCACATCGGTAAACCTGACATGATGTGGATTCTCACATGCACCTCTCTTGACTAAGTCCTGGAAAACATCACGGCTGGATTGTATGTGTCAAAACGACCTAGTACAGAGAGACAGCTCTCAGATATAACGTACAGACTATAAAAGCAGCTGATTATGCTTAGAATAGCCAAGCTGTTTACCCTTTCTACTATTAAACAGTATAAACAATCAAAGAGAACAAACCAAAATACACCCAAGGATTAAAAAAAATCAGTCTGGTTATATAAAGAGCTGTTCATAGCA